GATATTTTTAACATGTATTGAATAATGTACCATTATGTTGGTTCTTAAACTTCTGTCATACAATATCTTTTAGGAGCAAGGGTATGATGATATGATGGTTTGTCACTGAAAAGCGGAACACTGCCTCTGATCTTGTATATAACGGATAGGTTGGAATAGATATGTAATTCTCAAGAATAAGATAAAAATCTTAGAACCTTTATTATACCTACATGGTAATCCCATCAAAGACCTTGGAATAACCTTTAATTAAATGATTTTATGGAAAAACCATATATCCAATATCTCTCGCTGTACTTTTTCCAACTTAATATGTCTAAATTAGTTATGTCATCTATTTCCATTTGGAACCCATAGGCTCCTAGGTACTTCCTTAATATTTCCCTACTTTGACTGCTGTATGGTACTACTGCTTCAATGGGGGCGTCTCTGAGGATCTCAAGGCGAAACTAAAATGTTTGATAAATAAATAATTTGATAAGCTGTGTATGATCCATCTTCACGATCCCAATAGACTCCTCTGTTTCCCGTTTTTATGAAAAGTTGATGTGACTTTATCCTGCCATCCTTCCACTCCTAAGTCGACCAATCCCGCCATCCTTCATATATCTCCGAGCTCCTTCAATTCAAATCCTCTATTCATTCCCACAATACCTGTTCCCAGTCTTTGGATTTATACACAAGGGCCCACTGAACCGCTGCTTTCGACAGATCATTCATTATCCGATCCTAATCCCTATGGAACTCCATCCCTTCCTACATCCGTCACTCCTATACTCTCCCTTCCCTACCTTTAAATCTCTAAGGCTCCATAGCCCACATTTCTTTCTTTCTGTATTATTTTAAAGTATAAATAAATTATTATTATTAATATATTTTTAATCAAAGATTTGTGGAATATCTTTGTGTGTTTTATATGATTATTTTTATTGATTTTGGAATTGTACTTCAGATTTAGTTTAAACCATTTTGTTTACTGTTAAAAAAAATAGCTAAGTAAATTATTGAATAATATAGTTTATTAGTGTTGTCAAAAGAAATTCATAAAAAAAAATTATGAATTATATGGCCAGTCTATCAACTGCTTCCTGCAGTGGCACATGCCATGGCCTGATGAAGACCTGCAAGGTGGGTTGAAACGTCGGCATTACAATTAAAAATACTATGTTTTAAAAATTTAGTATTTATTTGACCACACAACTTCTCATAAAAAAAAATTATTTTACATTAAGTTTTTGTAACTATTTGTAAATATCATAATGATATAGTTACAAAACCATTTTATTTATACTTTTATTTAATGGCTCCCCTAACTGTTTCCATGTTTTTGCCTCCTATGTTCCAACTATTAAAGTCTTTAAAAATCATTAAAACTGAATATCATCTCTAAGATTCACACTTGAGCAGTCAATTTCAGTTTGCATCATTAGCCAAATTTATCAATATTACTTTTTTGTTTTTTCTAGTGTATGCAACTCATATTTTCTTACATATAAAAACTAAAAGCAGACAAGTGTTTATTTCATTTTGAGGAAGAAAAGGTTATAAAAGAGTTGAGTAAAAGATTCTTAAGCTAACATTAAGGGTGGGAAACTGTCCTGATATAGGAGACATTCTCATCAGACGAAAGAAGAATTCAATGTCCATATCCATTTAATAGAAGTATTGAACTGTAGGTAATATAATACATGATGGCAGACAATTCATATGTGTCAGGTTAGTTGAGATGCCAGCTTACGGGAGGTTTTCATTTAAGAGATTGCACTGTGGTGAATAAAATACACATTCACTGAGGGAAATGTTAATCACTGATGAAGATTTAGTCTGACAATGAGCCATGTTTATATTGTACTCTAATGAGCACATAAACCAAACTTGCTAATAGGTGAACAGACAAGCGGATGATGTAACATTTAAATGGATGAAAAATGTCCGATTATTTAAGTAGCTGACAATTGATTAATGGGGATGGAATGGAATTAAGTTAAAGGTCTGCATCTAATCCTTACCACTTCTACAATTCTGTAGGTCTAATTTTCTGTGATTGTCTAGTGCCTGTGATAGAAAGTATTAAGAGCCTCTGTTAAAAGTTGAGTATTTGTTCTATTCATTAATATCAATCTAAATTAGGTAGCTAAAATAAGCCCTATATTGATTTGTAATAAGATAATTCTAAACATTAATTAATGTTTTTTTTTTTGAGGAGTTGATTGGAGGTGTGGTCAAATTTAATACTATATATTAAAATAGTATTTTATTAGATATGCCGATGTTCCAATCCACATTGTGGGTCATTAGGACAACAAAAGATAAAAGCTATAAATATAAATAAGGACTAGATAAAAACAACATTAATTAATTATTAGTAGATATTAAATAAGTAAGATGTCTGATAAAGAACTTATAAGATGACATCAGTGATGTAGTATTGTTAGAAATCAAACTATTATATATATAATTGATAATAAAAAAGAAAGTTGAATTTAGCATGTAAGTTAAAATTTAAACAAATTTTGATAAAATAAGAATAGAATATTAGTTGATAACAAACTATTAAAGGTTACATGTGATAACTTCAGGTTACCAGATAAAAAAAACTGAAGGAGTAATAAGATAACATAAGTGCTTTAATGAGTTTTAGTATCTTAAAGTAATTTTTTTGTTATCTGTATATTGGAGTAAAGAAAAAATTAAAATGAAGACCCACAATGTGGATCAAAACGTAAGTGTATCTAATAAACACTATTTTCATATATGAAATTATATTATATTTTCATATATATTATTAAATTTGACTGATCCTCTCCCCTTCCCAACCAACTCCTCAAATTATAATCACGATCATGTCTGCACCATTAATTAATGTTAATGTTATTGTTTTGTTTTAATTCTTTACAATAAATGTATCTAATGTTTGAAAACCAAAGTTGTATAAGTTTATGAATATGTTATGTTTTATATTTCTAAGAGTATTTATTTTTAACTATAAATTTATATACTAATAAATATCTATATAAATAAAATAAAGATTTTCTCTGTACATTGAATAGAATCAACCCGTTTTATGATATCTTTCCGTTTCATACATTGCAGACACCAAATCCACTTTTAAAAAAATTTTTGTCTGTCCTCATTGCAACGAAATTTTGTCAGAGGTAAGTTCAGCAATGGCTTATTGTAGACTTTTGAAATTTTAACATTATATTAAGGTTTGCTTGACTTAAAATATAGGCTTTAAATGAAAAAAAAAAATTTAGTAGAATCAAAGCTATGAATTCTTGAGTAATTTGTTTAGAGATCCCGGTCAGGCAGTTACTTCGATTCTTATCCCAACCTACTCTACCATGAGCCACATTTAAAAGTTGTACTACTCAACTGATGGGAAAAAGTACCACAGCTCAACAAGAAAAATCCGGAATACCGAACATCTGTAACGCGTTGTCACATAAAACGGGTAAAACACACTCATTTTTCAACATTGTCCGATATTCCCGTTCAAGGTGTCATTCAATTCAACTTCCCGAGCCTAACAAATGGTGTCGTATACATTTTTAGGATTAACCAAGGGAATTAGCCAGAAATCATGTAAAAAAATCCAAAAATTTCATCCCGCCCGCCACAATATTCAGATCAAGTTCTAATCTTAAACGGATGTAGGTGATTCAATGTCCAATGTTATTTTGGTTATTTTGCCAGCGATAAACTCAGCACAGTTTAAAGAAGTGGAGAGACTACAACTCTTTTTTATTAATTAATCGACTCCACAATCTCCTCGCTTCAGCGTAAATGAAAATTAAACTCTTAATAAATTTTAATGGATCGGTGTTGGTCGGTTTAGTCGTGTGGTACCTTAACAAATAGACGAATAACAAAGTTTTTGTTATGACTATTAAAGAACCATAAGCCCCGCCATAAAAAAAATTCAAAACAATCCTCCCCCCATAATATAAAATCCATCCCAAAAAAGATTCTCAAATTTTAACTATATACCCGTCAATGATGGGTACATCAGCTAGTATTATATAAGAATAGATAAGTGTTTGTTGCCAGGCCATGTGAACTCCAGTCAGGAATATAAACAATTACGAAGATTACAGAACTACTGAATAATACCTAGAGTCCATTGTATTGTATTCATTGTGTCAAGTATTTTTACACTTTCATCTAAAATAGTTCTGTATATTTTATCATAACCAGTAAATGATATAATTATCAGTTCCATGGTTATTTAGTATTTTTAAAATGTACTTTTACTAATTATTTTCCCATTGCCAATAGCACAATGCCACTGCAACATACAAACATTTGAACAAATTCTATATGACTACCTAATTTTTAACAATAAAAAGTACCATACATTAGAAATATAACATTGAGAAGAATATTTGTATGTTTTTGTCTTTATTTCTTAGTGTGTTTTTAAAATCTTTTCTTTTAAGCGTTTAATCAGAAAAATGTCAATTTTCAGAGAGAGTATACATTATTTGAGTATATAAGCATTCTTGGTTTTAATACAAATAATAAAAGTATTGTTTACGACATCAAGGAATATATACCTTTTATTTCAAACAAGACAACAATTTCTTATTGGAAAACAATTTTTCAAAAATGAGACAATCTGTACAATGAAACTGGCATTGTCAAGTTCAAAATGTTCATTACAATAAAGAATATGAAGCGTATGTTATTTCTTTCTGACATTTCACATATTTATATCCATTAACATTCTATTAAAATATATATATATTATTATTATAAAATTTCATTGTATTCTTGGAATTGCAGTTTTACGTATTTTCATTATTCATAGAATTATGAATCACTTGAAAAATTATGAAAACTAAATTTAGCAATTTTTGATTGTAAAGGCCTTAAATATTGACACACTTACGCGTGCACACATGCACATATTTATAGCATGATTACAATGAAATAGATTTCATCATGGTTCCAGTAGCGAAATAATTAAAAAAAAAAGATACAGATGTGTAACATGTTTATCCTTAAAACGTAATCTTAAATGTTTACTATACAAACTAGTTTAATATCCTAAAATTGAATAAAATCTTTTAACCCCTAAATAAAATTTAAAATGCCAAATTTATTTCTATTTGATATGCTAGAATTAAATAGCTGATAGAAAGAGATTGACGACATTAATTGTGATACTGGGCCTTAATGAGATGGTAGTATATGCCACGTACTTGAAGGAGTTCGGTATGAGTGCCTAATTCTTTAACCACACCTTGTGACATGACTGCTATCAGGTCGGCATTCTCGACTGTAGACAAACGATGGGCTACAACAATGCTTGTCCGTCCTTTTCTTGCATTATTTAGAGCATCATGCACTACCTGAAGAGTATAATTTTAAAAATGAATAGTGTATTTTCAAGGTTAATGTATTTATATTTTATAAAAATAATTGTGTACACCTTAATAGGCTTATCATTGTCAGCTAGATAAATAAGTATTTATACTCTATGTTAATACTTGTTTCTAGTCAAAATTTTACTCTATGAATAATCACTAATCTATCTATCTATCTATATATATATATATATATATATATATATATATATATATATATATATATATATATATATATATATATATATATATATATATATATATATATATATATAGATTTACTTCAATCTTTATCAATCCTAGTTAGCCCAGTATATATTTTCACTTTGCAATTTATTATTACATGGAGAATAATAACTACGTTTACTGCTGAGTTCTACCTATTTACTCATTAAAACTATTTATATCAAATGGTGCAATTACAACCTTCTCACTCTCAGAATCTAATGCAGACGTAGCTTCATCCAAAAGCAGAATTTTAGGATTCCTGAGGATGGCTCTTGCTATAGCTACTCTCTGCCTCTGACCTCCCGATAGCTTTGAACCTCTCTCACCAATGTTTGTCTCATAGCCCTAATATAAATTCAGCAGCATAAATTGTTAGCATATACTATTTATTAGAATCTTTTTTTCAATTATAGAGGAAAGATAAGTATTTACTTGTGGAAGGCTAGCAATGAACTCATGAATATATGCAGCTTTTGCTGCATCTATAATATCTTGATCTGTCACTATTCTTCCAAGAGCAGAGATCCCGTATGTAATGTTATCTCTCAATGAGCAATCAAATAGCATTGGCTCTTGTGTCACTAAGCCAATTTGGCTTCTTAGATATCCAACATTTATTTTTGCAATATCTGTTCCATCAATTAACTATAACAGAAAATGAACTTTAAATTTTTACAATAATAAAAAATAAAAATCTGGTGCGACATTCATCACAATGTTTTCACTTACGAACTACTTAAATAATTTACTTTCAGCTTAAATAGGGTTTGTTAATATTTAATTATTTAAATCTATTATCCTACCCAAAGATTTTAAAAATTATATTTATTGAAATTTGCAACTGAATTAACTAAAAATACTACAATAGCTATAATGAAAATGACAGGCTTGTAGAGAAACTACTCATTGGTAGCACTTCAATTACAATTGTCATCTTTTTAGATGCCTAGGAGGATTATCAGGAATCGAAGATGATGCACAGTTAAAAACTAGTGGGTTGAGATGGGCCTGAAGTTTATTTTGGATGGATAGGTATATGGATTATGCTAAACTGGCAACATTTTGAACACTAAGATCATAATGTATAATCTTATTGGAAACTAAGCAAGGAGCATTGAGGATTTGACGAAGAATTTTGGATTGTAAGGATTGGAAATAAGAGGAATTTGATCGTTTAGTAGAGCCTTAAAGCTCAACTCCAAAGTACAAATAGGCCTTACCTAAAGTAATTAAAAGTTATCAACATGTAAACACTCGTAAAGGAATGAGTATCAACAGCTGCAAGAATAAGGTCATGACTATAGCAAGAGATGAGGGGAATGTGGGAGATATAAGAATGATATATAAAGGAGAAGAAGTGAAGAATGTGGACTACTACACCTACCTTGGAACAATTTTTAACAAATCTGGGAATATAGAACAAGAAGTTTCTGACAGGATAAAGAAAGCAAACAGTATATATTCCCAGATTTGCATAGAGAAAGGAATGAAAGAAGAAGAGAGGAACTCCTGATACCCTCACTGAAAGCAACTATGCCGGGAACTTAGATGGTATGGACACATGTGTAGAATGGGAGAAAGAGTATCAAGGAAATGCATGGAAGCGAGACCAACTGGCAGAAGACCACGTAGCAAGCCTAGAAGAACATATATGGAACATATCCAGCGGCTAGGTGAGGAAACAGGGAAAACCCTAGGTCAGGTGAAGGAATTGGCGAGAGAAAGGGGTTTATGGTCGAAGTGGTTTGAGGCTCCTCCACGCTGAAAAGCACACAAGGAGGAAGAAGAAGAACATGTAAACACAGCTTGAAATATTTTCAGCAGCATGAACTTCTCTCCTAAAAGTACAACAAAATAGTTTTTAAAACAATTCAATGGATTATATATTTTTTTTGTCAAATTTAAAATTAATTGTAAAAGTGCTAATTTAGATAGTTTGAAAAATACCACAAAAATATGTTGTTTCTTATAATTAATATCAATTTTCAAAAATTATTTTTCAAAATTTTTTCATCACTCTCTATAACATACTACAACTTTATATATTAATATTAATTTTTCTAAAATCTTTAGCTTTCCGATGATATATTTTATATATACTTCTACTCTTGTTTCTAAAAATTTGTTTTCTACTTCAGAAAAAAAAAATGTTTCTTCTATTGTTAATTATAAAATTTTTTCATAGTATCTATTTAGGCATTTCTTATTATTACTAAACAGGAGAGATTATTAATTACTTCAAAGAAATCAAATTAAATGTATTTTAGAAGAAGCCATTTTGAAAATTCAGCATCTTTTGTTTCTTTTTATAAATACTTAATATATCGGACTTTAAATTAAAAGAGCAAAATACTGTCCAATTTTAAATTATGAAAGATAAATCAATACATAAATAAAACCAAATTAGTACATAGACATAATCAAGTCATTGCAGAATTTGGAAGAGGTGAGAATTTATTTTAACATAATTTCAAAATGAATATAAGCATATGGTAAAATATAAGTACTTATAAAATGCTGACTATTGCATTTATTTCCCTTTTAGCAGACAAATATAGAAACAATATTTAAATTTCTTTTGTATATAAATTATGGTCTCTATCCCACCCAATATTTTGACTCATCACCCTTATCTTCAATTATTCACTACAGTCAACCATTAACCTACAATTATAAAAAAATATAGCGGCCTTCTTTTTCAGTGGTACTCATTGAACTAAAAATATTTCGTGGCACTTAATTATTTATTATAATCAAATAAATAATTAAAATATACAGTCGAAAGGGTCAGTGACAAAAACAGCATAAATATAATACATAAGATGATAATGAAAAACATACGGTAATTTATAGTTATAAATAATACTTTATACCGTCTACAATTTTTACTTTCACTTCCCCTTTTCTGAAAATACATATATCTGCTAAAAAAAAAAGATGGTAAGTAAAAGTTGTATGATGCACACACTGCACCAGATTTTTTTATGGCATTTACTCTGCTCAAAATGTTGAGTTAGTGGTAAAATATAAGTACTTATAAAATGCTGACTATTGCATTTATTTCCCTTTTAGCAGACAAATATAGAAACAATATTTAAATTTCTTTTGTATATAAATTATGGTCTCTATCCCACCCAATATTTGAAGAAGTAAGTAAATATGGTCTCATATTTTTTGCTTTTTTTTTTTTATCGTGCTAATGTGTTCTAATAATAATCTACTTTACTTACAATATGCCCCTTGTTGGGATTGTAGAACCTCTCTAAGAGAGCGATAACTGTTGATTTTCCTGATCCTGAACCACCGACCAAGGCGACTGTTCTACCTTGTGTTACTTCGAGACTAAATCCTGTCAGAACCTGAGTGTGCCCTCGAGCCGGATAAGAAAATACTACATCCTTAAATTGTATATTCCCCTTTATTTCCTAAATTAAACAAACAATCAAATTAACTACTTAATTTGTTATATTATTTCTAAAATAGTTTAGTCTTTCAAAAAGTAAGGTCTAATTGGAAATAAAACTTTAATAAGCAAATTTTAAATCATTCATTATAGAAACAGAACAAAGTGATGAAATTAATTGTTGGGTGCATTCTCATAATGATTACTTTAAGATTAAACAATTTTTAATGGTTACAGGTTTTTATAATTAATAAAACTTAGTCATATAATAAATTGAACTTGGCAAATTTAGTCATTGGTCATTTCAAATATCTATTTGATCATTTCTTTACGATATTTTTATTTCTTCTCAGCCTTACCTAATCAGTTTAGTATCCTTAAATGTTAATTCTATTTACCATTTACTTCAGCTATTCTTCTATTTCACTTTTATGAAAGCTTTGTTATCAGTTATCAACCCTCAGTCAAAAAATAGAACTTAACTAAAATGTATACCATTTTGAATACATTTTTACATTCACTAACCTGTATATAAAATATTTTCGCACATGGCTGGGATGTTATAGCAACTTTTTTGTCAATATCGGCTTACCAAAAGTGCTATTACATATTTTCAATTTTACACAGTGTTATATTACAATTTTCTTGAAAAAACCTCTGACCATTTTGATTAAATTCATTATATCAGTGTAGAAGTAAGAGCTTTCTAAAATAATTTTGATTGTTGATGAAATGTTGTTCTCATTGATATTCTCTAACATGGCTTAAATGCCTAATTTTCAATTTTTTTTCTCTATAAAGTTCTTTTAATTTTTTAATTTGAAAAATTAATCACTTCATAACCTGATATAAGAACTAAGAGATCATAACAGAAAACTGAAAAAACCTGAGCAGGCAAGGACGTAGGAATTGGCTTCCATACGTAACACATGCTTAATAAATTATGGGCTTCAATAATATTATTATTACATATACATGTGCGGTTTTCATAAATGCTAGCGTTTGTTTATTTAATATTTAATTGTATAGATTACAGCAATATAAAAATTAAAATTTGTAAATTTGCCAATGATTAAACAAATAAAAATACTAGTAATGAAATATAAATAAATATAGAAGAGAAGGATGGTTGGAGTGATCAGTCAAAATAAAAATATAAATAATAATATTTATTTTTATATTTGCCGACATTTCGACCCGAAGTTCAGGGCTGAGAAAAGAACCAGATAACAATAGGTATGAGAAACATGAACAATGTAGGTAGAAAAACTTAAAGTAAAATGAAGTAACTAGAGTGAACATTAAAGTAAAATAGAGCAGGTAGAATAATAATAATAACAGAGAACTAAGAAATAAATAATAATAACGTCTACAAAGTGGGGACTAATGAAGTAAACATATTCAAAGTAAGGTAACATAAGAACTAAAAATGTAAGTTTTTTTTTAAAATATTAGGCCAAAGGTCACGAAATATACACAGATTTTACATCCTGTATTATTTATTCGATGTTTCGGCTTCAGGAGCCATTTTCAAGATCCTGCAAACTAATTTTAATTCAGTTCTTACAGTTCAAAATACATTCTTATTAGACACATATTAATTTAACAACCATCAGTAATATAAATAGTCCAAATTCTATTTTATAAAAAATTTTTTTTTTTTCATCATCTACCTACCATTTCATAGAATGTCGTTTTTTTACTTCTAAAAAGTTGTAATAAATAAATAATTAATTAAAATAGAATGTTAAATTACCGAACCTGAATGATATGACTAGAAAACTAAAAATGGTAATCTTAGGATAAAATCTAAAACAGAGAAAAGGAATATGAAGTTATATTAGGAAATAATAGATATAAATAGAAAATTGAGATATTGTAAAATCTATCTAAATATACTGACTAGGTATAAGAGAATAAAAAGTTTAAAAAATGTAAAACCTTCGTTAACAAACCTTCAAAACAGATTCGTTCATCTATCTTATCTTAGTTTTCTCCTTCCTGTCATTCTATTTTCCATATTTCCATCTCTATTTTGTATACATTGAAACATTTGCTCATTTATTCTTTTTTTTTTTTTTTTACATTATTTTAACTTTCTATTCTCTAATGTAGTCAGTCTACTTTTATAGATTTTACAGCATCTCTAATATTTCTATTTATATCTATTATATTTCCTAATTATTAACTTGCTTATATTCCTTTTCTCCTCGTTTTACATTTTTATTTCTAAGTATTAACTACATTTTTAGTTCTTATGTTACCTTACTTTGAATATGTTTACTTCATTAGTCCCCACTTTGTAGACGTTATTATTATTTATTTCTTAGTTCTCTGTTATTGTTATTATTCTACCTACTCTATTTTACTTGAATGTTCACTCTAGTTACTTCATTTTACTTTAAGTTTTTCTACCTACATTGTTCATGTTTCTCATACCTATTGTTATCTGGTTCTTTTCTCAGCCCTGATGAAGGCCTGAACTTCGGGCCGGAACGTCGGCAAATGTAAAAATAAATATTATTATTTATTTTTGCTATTTTTTATTTTGACTGATCACCCCAATCACCCTTCTCTTCAATTATTCACTACAGTCAACCATTAACCTACAATTATAAATAAATATAGCGGCCTTCTTTTTCAGTGGTACTCATTGAACTAAAAATATTTCGTGGCACTTAATTATTTATTATAATCAAATAAATAATTAAAATATACAGTCGTTAACGGAAAGGGTCAGTGACAAAAACAGCATAAATATAATACATAAGATGGTAATGAAAAACATATGGTAATTTATTGTTATAAATAATACTTTATACCGTCTTCAATTTTTACTTTCACTTCCGCTTTTCTGAAAATACATATATCTGCTAAAAAAAAGGTGGTAAGTGAAAGTTGTATGATGCACACACTGCACCAGATTTTTTATGGCATTTGTTCTCCTTAAAATGTATAAGAGTTAGTGAACAAGTTATCACTTATTATAAATATAAATTATATTTTATCTTTCATCATGAAAGTAGGAATTAAAATAAACTATGAAGTTCTTTATAAGCTCCAAATTAAATTTTTCAAAAATTCTAATATCATTCCGCCCTTAATCAAGCTCAAGCTTTTGTTATACTGCACAAAATTATGGAATGAAATCTTGACCCCTATATTTAGACAAATATGGTGTTTTAAAATGTCTTGGTAGGTTCATTTACCTATCTAAAAGTTTTTCCTGTCAACAACTGTTACACTAATAAATATTTACTTTTTTTTGTACTTATTGTTATATTATTACATTATTGTTATATTACTTATTGTTATATTATATATTATTGTATTTATATATATATATATTATTGTCACCTGCAATTATTCAGCTTTCAACACTACTAAAAGCTAAATCAACTTACTGGTCTTTCACCTTCATCACTCTTGGGTAGGGAACTCCCAGTTGTCATAAGTTTGACTACTTGAGTCACCGCTAGTTTGGCCTTACCAAAATCCTGAAAAAACAGCGTTGTTGTGCCAAGATTCGTCGATGCTAGAATCAATGCAAACAGGACCCTAAAATAACAATATCAATAAAATATATCTAATGTACAAGTAAGACAAGAAATAAACTCTACATATTTATATATATATCTGAACCTGTAAATATCTTCTGCTGTCATTTTACCACTTGCTACAAAATTAGAACCATATATAAATGCAAATCCATACATAAAATAGACAGCTGCGTGGACTATGGAAAATGTTATAGACAATACAATACTCTGCTTCCTTTCATCTCTGGAATAAAGTATAAAATATAAATTATAATTTATAGCTAGAAACTGTAGTATATACAGACAAATATTTAAAAAGACACAAAACTCAAATAGAAATTAACATTTAAAATTACTTCATAATTTGTGGGGCCATGTTATACATAGAAAAACACTTAGGGTATTTATCAATGTTTATTTTTTTAAAAAATTAATTTGAATATAGAAAAAATAATTTATAAAATATGAATAGAGGAATGTTATTTATATTTATATTACATTTATATTTATTATAAGAATATTTATGGTTTTCTAAAGTTGATCATGGAAAAATTTAAGCAAAATATAAGATTTCTTTGCTTAGATTTCTTAACTTAATCCAGACAATAATATGTAGCTATTCTCTAAATATATAATATTCTTTTTAAACTAAAAGAATCCTAATTTGCTTTTAAAATATATGAAATGCAACATTAACTTCATAAATAGCAGATTGTACTGTCAAGATCTGATTGTCATCCTGGAGTGACCAGTGACTTAGTTATTAAATTAAAAAAAAATTGGTCCAGTTATTTAAGAAAAAGCCGAAGCAAATTTGTCTTTAGATTCAACAATCTTGAAGCATAAATTTCTAAATTTGAGGGGAAGGGAGTTAAAAAATATTTATATTTTTTTGATCAAATACAAATGTCAATAATTGAAAATAATAAAGCAATATTTCAGTTTAACAACACAATATATTTTAAAAAATCCTTGAATAAAAGGGACTTCACTGTGAATAAAATAAAATGCTTTCTCATTGTCGCAAAACTTGAAAAATCATTTGAATAAAATGTTCTTCACTGTCCCAAAACTAGAGAAATAAAAAAAAAATAATAGAAATTCTATTTCAATTTAATTTTTGGATTATAAATTTCATAAAGATAACAAATTTTTACCTATAACTCTTTTTAAGCTCATTTGTGTAGACATTGTGAATATGTTCTTGCAAACATAAAAACTGAACTGTTTTTATGTTCTGGTGGCTCTCGGCTGCGATCTAAAATGACATAATATCTTCAACTCATGCCTAAAGTAACCTTTGATTAATAATTTATTTTACTAATTATGGTAAATACAGGTCCTCTAAAAAAAATTCTAATACAAATAATCAATGAAATTTTAAATATAACGAATAAATATCTCTTGCATTCTACCTTTGCCTAAAAAGGAATAATTTATATAAGTTACTTTTGCTACTTTCTCGCTTGTTTCACATTCTCGAATATGGGATCGAAAATTCATTCGCATTTGAATCCAGTTTCCGAAGATAATTAATGGAACAAAACACAATGCAATTAAAGTGATCATCCAACCAGAATAGAAAGCAATAGCCAATGATAAAACAGTGGTTACTATCGTCATAATGATACTTCCTGCCCTTAAACCTGCAATCTTTAAAATGCAAAACTTTATTTTAATATATAATATTATTACAACTAATTTTCTAATTATAACTGAAATATTTGAGGCATTCAGTTCCTAAACCAGCTAAGTTGAAAATATTAAAACTTAAAATTATTGATGAAGGAGATGGTCTAGGAGGCAGTAAAAAAAAAAAAATTGATTATTTATTTGATGCAGAAGTTTTGAATAAATAACCAGAATTTTTTTTTTCATTTTTTGATCGATTTCTGGACTGCCTCCTTCTTGAATTACACTAAGATCAACTATCTGCGGATACAAAATTATTAATGTTTAATGAAATTTTTGAGTAACATTGGTAATTGGTGAAAGCATGTTTTCACAAAATAAAACTATTTCCTTAAAAAATTTCATCAAAAACATTTCTATTCCAAAACTAGCCAAATTACTTATGTTATGATAGTCACTTTTGCAAGCACCATTCTAGTTAGGAGCTAGATGAAGATTAAATTTGGAAGATATTTAAGGATCATTATTTCAATATGGGGCAAAGATAATAGATGGTCCAGAATGGTCACATACTGGACTCCATATGATCTGAAAAGAAGAGGGCGTCAAAAGAAAAGGTGGAGCGGCGCATTTAAGCAGTTGGCAGGACCCCTCTGGCGGAGAGCTGGTAGAAACAGGGATGTCTGGAAGAAGCAGTGGACGGAACTCACATCCCATTAGGGCTAGTCACCCCAGGAAGCGCTGACTATTACTCGGTAAGGAAATGCTTATGCAAGAGAGGAACAAGGAAAAACAAAAACAAAAAAAAGAGAAAAATAATCAATATATTAATTTCTTTTCACACTTAAAGAATATACTTATTTAAATGTATTAATTTTTGCATAAACAAAGGCTATACCATTTCATTTCAATAATAAATTAATCAACACTACCTACTTTGCAATTGCTGTTTTGTTTTTTCTAATGTAAACTACTTAACTTATAGCAAAGTCAAAATTATCTTTGATGACTGTGAAGGCGTAAATAAGAACTATTTACTAATGGGGTTGGTAAATATAACTTCCTTTGTGACTTAAATGTTTATTTTATTGGTCACATAGCATTACAATGCTAATGTTTCGAGATATATTTTACATCATCAGAACTGTCTGGGGTTTTTGCCAGACTCCTTTCTATATATATTTTATGTGTGTGTGTGTATGTGTGCTATCTTTTCTCATGATAACATTGTTTTTCTTCTTTCAATTTTCCAATTAGAGGCAACATTTATTTTGGTTAACAATAGTTGCACAATTGGACTGCTAAAACCAAAAAATTTTTTGTCCTTTAAAATTTTGCATCGTTTACCTAAAGCTAATAGATAACAAATTATATTTTAATGGGATTATCAATAATTTCAAAACACAAAATAAGTTTATTTTACGAACAGATTGCAAAAATTACTAAAATGGACTTCACTGGTTCGGAAATGAATGCCTTATTTGTATTACATATAAACTATGTCTCTGGCAGAGGAATAATCATGCCGTATATATGTTCTGTATACTTTGAAACTTATAATTTATATATATTTAATAAAGCATTTCTCATTCATTCATATAAACTATGTCTAGTAATGTACTCTCCAATATTTTAGCAACATTAAATAGGAAATTATTATATATGAAAATTAAAATACATTTTTCACTAGTGGAGGTTCCTTTGCCAATATGTTTGTAAGTTTAATTGGTGAATGATTTTTATGATCAAAGAAAGATAGCTGCTGTGAAAGTATATTTTTAAAGGTTTGTATTCTCAACTCTTTTATCATATTTTCTGTTACTGAAGAGGAAGCAAGAGCCTGAAATGATATTTTATTATATGTAATAGATACAAAATCAAAATAAATAAATAAAAACTTTTTGCTACTATGAAAAGTATCTTACAGCAGTACTTATTGTTATTATAGTAACCAATGACAATATTCCGAACATTCCACTCCATAACTTAACCTGAGATTCAAATTCTTCTATGGGTAACACGAATAACTGAAAGTAAATAAATAATCAACCTCAATGAAAAAATTTGATGATAATATATTATTATTTTTTTTTTTAACTTTTATTATGATATTTACAACTGTATTAGTATGAATACATCAAGTAAATTTGTACAGAGAAATATTATTACATGAAACACGCTTGTTGAGAAACTACCCACTGGTAGCACTCTAATAATATATTATTGAAATTTATATTCATACACTCAATTAAATAAGGAAAAAAAAAGTTGTCAAATTAAATCACTCATAATTGTTTAGCTGATATCAATTATTTAGTAAAAGTAATACCTATAAAATTCATATTACTAAAAGATATATTAGTTATGAGATAAAAACCAGGAAACTTCAAGGGTCAATTCTGCCCCTAATTTTGACCTAAGAGTTTCTATTAAACATAATCATATTTTTAATGGTTTTGTGAGAAATTTAATTATTATTTTTTTTAATTCTCAAAATTTTAAAATTAAAATCCTTCTATTTTTTCTGAAACTAACATTTCATAAAATTTTATGATACCATCGAGGGGATGGGAAATTACTTATCAGTTAAAATGATCAAAAATTGTTTAGCTGAAAATATAAAGCTTGAAATAGACTTAACTGTGAACTCTGTTATTTTCAGCATATCTTGTACAAGTGTGATTAAAGTGATCTGGGCTCCCTCTCCATCTAGATCGATCACTCGTTAACTATATTTCAAGATTAATCATATAAACACTATTTTTTTTTTTTTTTTAAATACAAATTGGTTATATTTCTATGCATTGGTGCCACCAGATTTCATGAAAGAACAGTTCAGGAAGGGATAAAAGAATGGTAATGCAAAACAAGCTAGGATTAAAAATAATATATTTAATTGTCTATAAAACCATTTAAAAATGGACGATAGTCAATAGGAACTTTTTTTGTTTAAGTTTAGAAACGGTTCCTTAAGTTTTCTGGTTTTTTATCTGGTAAAACCTGTAGATAGATATAAAAACTATATTGATCTATTTGCAAATAAATTAGACTTGCTACATTTTCTGATTAAATACTCACTCTTAAAACACCTCCATATAGAATGGCAAAGGTAGGCATTTGGCAACCGGCAATAAGGCAAGCTATCACTGTAACTATTATCAACCAAGGAGAATTTGTTATTTGTAGTAATGTTAAGTATTTTACATCTTCCTGCATCAAAAACAGTCAATAAAATAATTCATTATGATTGAAATTAAAAACATATAAATATATATGTTAAAGAAGTTAGTTGAGAGATAGACTTACAGAAAACTGATAAACTGATTTTTTTGAAGAAAGTCTGTTTTGATTTAGCCAGTCCTGTACATTAAGATGCTTACTGTAAAAAAAGAAATACAAGAAATATAATTAAGAATATATAATTATATAATGAAAGGTATTCAATTAATATAGTTAATTCAATTTTTTTTTTTTTAAATATAGAAATATACTTACGCTCCATTTTGAATAAATGATTTATCTATTTCTGTCCTAAAAAACAAAAATAAGAAATACATCGTTACGACTAAAAAAAATAATTTAAAAAATGATTGTAATTAGTTTTTGTAAAACATAATCAATAACTTGACCATAACAAGGAACAGGCTTGTTAAGGTGGAAAAAGATCTACATGGTCTGTAATGCCAACAGAAAAAAAAAAATAATAATCTAATTATAAAAAACTTACACACAATGCTCTTCAATATCCAGAGCTTTGTTGCTTTGTGAGAGTACCAAATTATAATAAACACCTTTCTTTTCCATCAGTTCGAAATGTTTTCCACATTCAACAACATGTCCATCCTATTATTCACACAATCAAAATATTAATTAATTTATTTATTTTTAAATTACGACTTAATGTTAGAATAATCTGGGATAGGGTTATAGGTTATGCAGATGACTTTGATCTCACAGCCAGATTTGTATACGCCCCAAAGGAGGCCTGCAAAAGGAGCTGTGTATATACCATGTACTCAATATAAAGTTTTGAGGGATTCAAAAATCATAGCTGGCATGAGAACCCATCTCTGGTTGTGGAGCACATTAAAAAGCCACCACCAACAGTTGGCTCGGTTCTCTGATGTAGCTTTCTAGTTCCGGATCTCTAGGAAATCTTTGTTTGTCCAGCCACCGTTCCTAATGTCTTCCCAGTCTTCTGGTATCCTCCACAACTTCAATGACATGATTATTTTGCCAATCCAAAAACCATCCATTTGAGAAATGTGGCTTTCCCAGCATAAATTTCCAATCTTAATGAGCTCAAAATGTCTCATTAAAGAAGTCATCAAGTTCCAATTTTTTTTTTGTATTAGAAATTTCTGTCTTGTACAGAGCCAAAGATTTTGTATTTAATTCTTCACCAAGAAATTTTTGTTTGTTCACCTTGGTAGGAATATTTTTTTTAAATATCATGGCCCTGAAGCATTTTTTTTAATTTGATGTTACTATTTATTTTTATTAATTTATTGCACATTGAATAATTTATTGAAATTAAGTTTCTAGATTCAATTTTTCCTATAAATTAGATGTTTACAATGTGAGTTTATTAAAATAAGCTGCTATAAAAATCAATCAGCTGTTCTATATCCAACATTTTTCATACTGTCATTAGGTTTGTTAAGTATTTGAATATTAAAACACAAAACTACAATATTAGTAATCACAACTCTTTTATTCATCATCAAAGATAACACTGTTAGGTTAATACAACTAAATCACGGATTGGTATAATTTATATATCACAATTTCCCCCTTTCTAAAGAAAGTGTATCATAGTTATAAAAATAGCAACATTTTAGAGACATGAAAAATTTTTATAAAAAATACATATAATTCTTGTATAAAACTAAGAACACAAATAACTGAGTCTTCTCCAGCTGCCAAGAAAGGCTCCCGCTTCCATGACCATTTCTTTGGCTGCTCTCTTGTTGATTTACATAAATAATATCGCCTCTTATTTTTTTTTCATGGAGAAATCTGAAAATTTGGTCCACATGGCGTTTGCATGTAATACCATCGTCTGTTTCAACTAAAAATGTGACAGGTGACAATTGCTTTTTTTATTCTTCCTCGAGTCCTCTTATTTTCGGCCTTTACGTTAAAATCATTTACCATTACTTCATCATTTACCTGAAAGTTGATACAATGAGATGATTTATTTCTTAAGAAGGATTGGCACTGCTTAAGTTCCACATCATTACTCACATTTGGTTTCAGAAGGTCAAATTTCGTTTTAATTTCTCTTTTATACGTAAGATAAGCTGATGATCTTTCGGTAGTAGAATGCTCTATTCTCCTGTAGTCTAAAAGAAAATTGTCCATAGCATACTCGACAGATTGCCCAGATTTTAACATCTTGCACATTTTATCTTTGAATGTTACCAACTTACCAACAAAATTTTCTGCAGCTCCGTTTGTTGCTGGATGTTTTGGAGGTGTTACTGTATGCCTTATACCATTCCTTTTTAGAAAGTTTCTGAATAAACTACTTGTGAATTGCGGTCCTCCATCAGTAACCAAATGATCACACAATCCTTGTCTGACAAATAAGTTTTTGAAGATTTGAATAACCTTCCAGGCTTTCGTATTATCTCTCATGTCAAAAACTTCTGGCCATTTGCTGTGGGCATCTATGACAACTAAAAACATCCTATTTCGTAAAGGACCTAAGAAGTCAGCGTGTAGTCGAGACCAAGCTTTGCTTGGATAAGATCACTGCGAATTTGCAATTTTGGTTGGATTATTTTTATTTGCTACACAGGTGAAGCAACTTCCAACATAATTTTCAATATCTGAATCCAAGTTCGGCCATGAAAAATAAGATCTTGCCATTTGCTTCATCTTAGTTATACCGAGATGTGATATGTGTAAATGTTTTAGTAATATGAGTCGAAGTGATTCTGGTATAACCACTCTTATTCCCCACATGAGACATCCTTTATTCAGCGATAATTCTAGTTTCTTTGAGAAAAACTTCTTTTCGATCTCAGATAAATTCTTATTTTCAGTTGGCCACTCCACGGCTACCCAATTTATCACCTTGCTTAATATTCTATCTTTCACTGATTCAATGACCACTTGTTTGTAATTCAACAAAGGCATCCCCTCTTCCACATAGTTGAGAGCTGTAAATTCTGTATCAAATACCGGAGTGTGGTCAGTTAAAGGCATTCTTGACAAGGCATCACAGTTCCCGTTTCCTGAGGACCTTACGACTTCTATACTGTAAGTGAATCCTGAAAGATAATAAGCCCATCTAAAGGGGGGCTAATGGATAGGGTAACGGGAGGTCTAGAGAGGGAGATAGGTGCGGGAATCTCCCCAACTCTTTGCGGAATGATCGAGTGAAGTGCCCTACCCACTGCTTGTGAGTTCCCAGATCTCCTTATCCCTATCAACGCCTACTGTCACCTCCATGTGGCTCACCCCGGGGAGTCCGATGGGACTCGCGGACGACAGAGGCGGGGTTCGTTGGTTCCATCCATATGTATGCGGATGATACATGTGGGATGGAACTGAGGAACCTGTTAGGCACCCAAGCTGAGGCTGAGTGGCAGAGGTTGGGTAAAAATATACTGTCTTTTATCAACTCACTTGGGGAACCGGGCGACACCCCATTTCAAGTAGCCAGGTGCAGGGAGAGGGGGTAGTACCTGCAGTTCCATTGACCCCCATACTCGTGGGAACCAAAATGTCCATTTCTAAAAAAAAAAATAAAAACAGTAAATCGTCGGTATCTGAGGAGGACTTGTCCTCCGAGGAGCTTTTAAACTTATCAGAGGTTACCTCAGATAAGATTGATGAAACTCTGGTAGGGGAATTACTCAAAACCCTAACAGAGGATGCTGGAACACTCCACGTCCAAACAGACCTTAAGGAGAAGGAATTGATGGAGGTGGCTTGTGCAATGGTGTAGGCCCCGGAAGAGAAGATGGACGTGGAAGAATGTAACAAGCCAGAAATGGTTAGAAGCCGATCGCATTCTGGACTCGACCACACGGAGCGGATTCTGCGGGGACCACGAGTCGGAAGACTCGAGGCCTGCCATGTGGAGGAAGATAAGGAATGCGAAGAGGCGCCTTAGGAGGAGGGCAAAGGCCCAACAACTATTAAGCCCAGAAGAAGAGAAAAGGCCACCTTTAGAGAACTGCCGAGGAAGCAAGGGCCCCAAAAGGCCTAGCGGACAAGGCGGAGAGTCGTGAAAGGGACGCCTTAGATCAAGGGCAAACATCTAACGAATTAGAGCCTACTCAAAGGCAGGCAGTGGAGGATGCAAGGGACCCAAAAGGCCTGGCAAACGAAGCTGCTGCGCCGGAGGGTAAAGCTCCAATAACACAGACAGGGGATGAGAAGTTTGCGAGACCACGTAGGCCAGCAGCTAAGAGTGCGAGGCCTCAAAGGTTGAGGTCTAGATCAAAACTGCCGGTGGAAAAAAGAGCCAGGAAATCCCTAGGAGCCTCAGCTATGGAAGCTAAGAAACCGAGGGAGGCTGAAAGGCCTAGAAACTATGCAAAGGTTGCACAAGGACAGTTGGTCGCGGTAGTTCCTGTCGACTACCCGCAGATCCAGCTTACCTATGACCAATGCGAAGATCTTAAGGAAGCAATTGCCAGTAAAATTGACGAACTCACAATAAGCGGAGACATACATCCAAAGTTCGACGGGGCGCTTTTTAAGCTCGGAGGATGTCTTGTATCCTGCCTAGACAGCCATACGGTGGAATGGTTTAAAAGCATAACACCGAGCATCACAATTAAGGAAGGATTAACCCTACGAACTTGTGAAGCAGGTGATCTAACAAAAATCATCAGGATTGGAGCCTTCTTTCCAGGAAAGGCCCTACCTGCTGATTATTATTTAAACCGGCTCCAGATTCAAAACCAATCTATTACTGGGATCAAAACCTGGACCGTGTTTAACTTCAAGGCTCTGGAAAGAGGATCCTTTTGGAGTATTTAACATACCGGAGACCAGCCTCCAGAGCCTCACTGAACATGGAATGCTGGCCTGCTGTGGGATATATGTTATCACCTTCAGGTTCTTGGCATCAGGAAGTAAACCTGCTCCGGAGGAAATGAAAAAGGAGGCGCCGAAAGCAGGCACATCAAAGGAGAGGGAGAACAAGGAATCTTCCTCTTCGGGAAGGAGTGCGTCGAGGACAGGGTCGAGGCCGTCGGCCGGGTCAGGAGGCGGGGCTAAGCCAAAGGAACCAGTGAAAACTGGTTACAGAGGCGAACCCCAACCACTGTCGCGGTCTGGGGGCCAGATCTCTGTCTCGCAGCGCTCATCTAACACTGGTAGGGGTTCGAAAGCGAGGTCGAGAGGCGGGGAGAAACCTAAAGACAAAGTGAAAACTGAGTCTGATGGAGGAACCCTACCATCGGCCCCGTCTGGAAAACCACCTTCCAGAAAATAAACAATCAAAAATATATAAAACTGCTGCAGATCAACATCCACCACTGCATTGCGGCATGTGGAGTGTTGCAACAGTATATAAGAGGTAATGATATTGATATAATATTAATTCTTGAACCTTACCTATATGAAGGCAGGATCAAAGGACTTAATATGCATGGGTATGGAATAATATCTGCACCCACATATCCTAGAGCCTGCCTTCTTTTTAAAAACAAACTAAAACTGCTGCCTCTATGGCAATTCTGTTCTAGAGATCTTGCAGCAGCTAAATATACCCAACAAGGGTATAACAGATCATTAATCATAGCGGCGGTTTATCTGCCATATGAACATCCAGAACCTGCAGAAGGAATGGATGAATTACTAAAGAGCAAGGAGGAAATTGTTGCTGCCCTGGATGCTAATGCACACAACGAGATCTGGGGAAGCACAAACACCAACTCAAGAGGTGAGAAACTCTTAGAGACTATTATTAAATATGATCTTGATATTCTGAACAGGGGGAATAAGCCTACCTTTTGTAATAGAATTAGGACTGAGATCATAGACATAACACTAGTGACTCGATTGACTAGTGACCTTATAGATAACTGGCATGTCTCTGATGAAGAAACATGCTCAGATCACAGGTATATCAGATTTGATATATCTGACAGAATACAACATGATGTGGAATATAGAGACCCCAAACGAACAAACTGGGTGTCCTATAGTTCTAACTTGGAGGAGGCTGTCAAATGCTGCCCCAAAGTTATCCACAATACATGGCAATTAGAAATA